GTCCTGACTCCTTGCTGTCTTTTCTTTTTTGAACAGACACCTGTGTGAAGAGGGAACAAATGTCCAACAGCAGCTCCATCACCCAGTTCCTCCTCCTGGCATTCGCAGACACACGGGAGCTGCAGCTCTTGCACTTCTGGCTCTTCCTGGGCATCTACCTGGCTGCCCTCCTGGGCAACGGCCTCATCATCACTGCCATCGCCTGTGACCACCGCCTCCACACCCCCATGTACTTCTTCCTCCGCCACCTCTACCTCCTTGACCTGGGCTCCATCTCCACCATTCTCCCCAAATCCATGGCCAATTCTCTGTGGGACACCAGGGCCATCTCCTCTTGGGGATGTGCTGCACAGCTCTTTTTCTTTCTCTTCTTGATTGTAGGAGAGTATTGTCAAGACCCAAGTCTTTTTTTTCATTTTCTGTGCTACAGCAGAGTTTTATCTTCTCACCGTCATGGCTTATGACCGCTACGTTGCCATCTGCAAACCCCTGCACTACGGGACCCTCCTGGGCAGCAGAGCTTGTGGCCACATGGCAGCAGCTGCCTGGGGTGCTGGGTTTCTCAATGCTCTCCTGCACACAGCGAATACATTTTCACTGCCCCTCTGCCAAGGCAATGCCCTGGACCAGTTCTTCTGTGAAATCCCCCAGATCCTCAAGCTCTCCTGCTCACACTCCTACCTCAGAGAAGTTGGGCTTATTGTGGTCAGTGCCTTTTTAGGACTTGGTTGTTTTGTTTTCATTGCGGTCTCTTATGTGCAGATCTTCAGGGCCGTGCTGAGGATCCCCTCGGAGCAGGGACAGCACAAAGCCTTTTCCACATGCCTCCCTCACCTGGCCGTGGTCTCCCTGTTTGTCACCACTGGCACATTTTCCTACCTGAAACCCCCCTCCATCTCCTCACCAGTTCCAGACCTGGTGGTTTCAGTTCTGTACTCAGTGGTGCCTCCAGCAGTGAACCCCCTCATCTACAGCATGAGGAACCAGGAGCTCAAGGATGCCCTCTGGAAACTGATGACCAGATGATTTGCAGAAGCAATAAACGGTCTTTAAAAATGCTTTGTAAATTCTTTTTATGCAAATCACTCAGAATATAACTCATTAGAGGCCAAGTGCATCTTCTTTAATTGTTGCTAGTTTTAGTTGGATTTTGTTGCTTTGTTTTACTTTGT